AGCCCCACCTGGGCTACATCGATGCGCGGAACTACAACTCCCAGACTCCCTGCGGCCAGGTTAGAGTGAGTCCGGGGGGGACGCTTAAAGGCTGGGAGCCTTGTGAAGGCCTCTGGGAAATGGAGTCTGGTCACCCGAGAGGAGATTCCGGAAAGTGTCCAGAAGTTTACTGCTGCCTCCGGGCGTAGTTTATTGGCTTTAGGCCGGGAGCCAGATCGAGTTCACGGTGTATCTGTCCAAGCTCAGAATCCAGACCCCATCTCCCAGAAGTCTGTAAACCCGCAGTGTTAACCCAGGGACCTAGGTTAGTCTGGCACCATTAATCTGGACTCAATCCGTCAACATGCTGCTATTTATTTTTAACGTGGAGTCGTTTTTCAGTCTGACTCTCCGTGACCCCATTTGGTGTTTTCTTGGCAGAGCTACCAGAGTGGTTTGCCATTTCCTTCTCCGGCTCATTTTACAGATGAGGAAACTGAGGTAAACAGGGTTAAGCGACTTACCCAGGATCACACAGCTGTCAGATTTGAACTGAGGAAAATGAGTCTTCTTGACTCCAGGCCATTTATTTTTAAGAGTTTCTTTTATTCTGATTTTGACAAACATCAAATTAAATTAGCATTTCCATATACAGTACATGCACTGTAAAATAGAAGGGGGGGGTTGTCGAGAAACTGCAAATCTCTATTGAGTATTTCCTTTTCAATTCAACAGAAACTTTCATCAAGAAGCATTTAAATGACAGCTACGTGCCACTTGGTTGTGAACTAAGTACTAGAGATTCAAAGAAATGTAAAACACACACACACACACACACACACACACACACACACACAGTTCCTGCTCTCAAGCAGCTTACAATCTAATGTGATTAATTCAAGCTTTCAAAACCATCCGATTTGTCACTGATTCCTTCTGACCATCCTTAGTCAATTACACCAAACCTCATCCTTCTCTACCTGCTACTTGACTCATTACCTTATTTTTCATCCTAGGTTCTCATGGGATATGTTCCAATAATGCTTCATTAATTACTAAAACTGCAATATCTTGCTCATTTATCAATTACTTCTGAGCTCCAACTGCAGTTTTGTATCCATTTATTTATTTAGTATTAATTAAACTGGAAAAACGTTTCCCCATAAACTTTTGCTCTTCTCTAGCTGTATTGAAACCTCTAATCTCCTACTCTTAAAACCAAGGTTAATGGATATATGATTTATTAACAGTATAACAATAAAATAAATGCATGAGTAATTAAAGTGTATCCATTATGAGAAAGATCATATCCAATAGTTTCCAACCATTACTACTCTTGCTGACTCAATTCAGTAGACAATTCAACTATTCCGCTCCTTCAGAATAGTCGACAAAGTCTCCCAAGAATTCCCTTCATGTTTCTTCACTATATTAGAGTTAAATTCAGTCTTGCAGGAAAGTTTTCTTGGTCCTTTCTTTCTGTATTTCATTCAATCTCTCTCCAGCTATCACAGTTAACAGTACCAGTCTCTTAAGAGTCTTTTGTCTAGACTTTGGGCTAAGTGATTGCAATGGATAGAGTGCCCAGCCTAGACTTAGGAAAACCTGAGGGCTAAGACACTTATTAGCTGTGTGATCCTGGGCAAATCACTTAACCTCTGTTTGCCTCTGTTTTCTCAACTTCAAAAGTGGGGATAATAATAGTACAGACCTCATAAGACTATTGTGAGGATTAAATTAGATCATATTTGTAAAGCACTTAGTCTACAGAAGATTCTTGAAGTTGGTCTATGATATTTTTGTGGTATAAGACATCTATGCCACCTATATGTGAAGTATCTTTCTCCGATGTAAGCATGGCTCTAAGCTTTTCTACTGACAAATTTTCTCATCTGATAAAATTTTCTCATTTCAAAAATCAACTCCTCCTTCTCAGAGGGTTGTTAAGAGGTCAGTTTTCAGATACTATCCTCTACCTGCACTCTATCAAGAAATTTTGAATGACTAACCAATTCTAGTAATTCTCAAGGCACTGATTAGCTAGTTTCTCCCAGAAAAAGAAGGTGGTCAACGATGTCACATGCTGCAGAGAGGTCAAGAAGGCTGATTAAGTAAAGACTATCAGATGGTTAAGATATTATTGGTAACTTTGGAGAGAGCTTTTTAGGTTGAGTGATGAAGTTGGAAGTCAGATTCTGAAGGGCTGCAGCAAAGAAGTGGAGGCAAAGTATATAAAATTTTTCCCCAAGAATTTTTCTGTGAAAGGGAAAGTTTTTGTTTTTATTTTTAAGAATAGGAGAGCACTGGGCATATTTGAAGCCAGCAAGGAAGAAGCCATTAGGTGAGGAGAGAGTCAAGATTAGAGGTGAGCAGTCCTGCTCTAAAACACTGGAAGAGAGGCTCGAAAAAAGGGGAGTTGATTTTTGCAAGAAGGGCCACCTTATTATCAGAATTTTTTATTTGATGTGGGAACTCTGGATTTTGGACATGATATTTTTGGGATTTTTTTTCTTTTGATGTTTCTTTCCAGAGGTGAGCAGTGATTAGCCCTCTGGTTCTAATAAAGCCCTACAGAGGCTACAGGCAAGGGTCACCAAAAGAGCACAAAATGAATGCCATGCTATGCCTGTGGGCAAAAACAGTCCAGGCACTGGGACTGACTGAGAGGTATAGGAGCACACAAAACAAAACTAACCTAACTCTGCTGACCTTTCTTCCCCCCCATATTTATTAATATCTTTTTAATTTATATAACCTTCCTTTCCTGATAGATTCTTCCCCAGAGAATCATTCCGGGGGGGGGGGAGAAAGAGAAAGAAAGAGAGAGAAAGAGAGAGAGAGAGAGAGAGAGAGAGAGAGAGAGAGAGAGAGAGAGAGAGAGAGAGAGAGAGAGAGAGAGAAATTGGTTCAATAAAAGTAGCCTGCACATCAATCATCAAAGGAGCCTAAGATGTGCAATAGCCCCCATCTTTATGAAAACTTAAGTGCAGCACTCTGCTAGAGTTAGGCTAGTTCCCATCATCTTCTCACCATCTGATAGCCTCTAGGAGCGCCCTCTAGCACCTTCTTTTTCTGTTTCCAGCTCTGAAACCACAAGCAAATCAGAACTGCTATTGTTACTGGAAAAGGTGTGTCAGTCTTTTCAGACTCCCCTCACTATCCCTTTCCCCAGTCGTCCCGATCTCTGTCTTGCCACTGGTCCCAAATAGTTCTGAAGGAGAGAGTGAGGCTAGTGCCTCACTTTGCATGGCCCTGCCTCGCTTAAATCCAATTCATTTGCAACTCAAGACATCCCCTTCCCAATGTCATTGTTCCTGGTCGAGAGCGAAGGACAAGCAACTATCCCTGATTTTCCAAGTTAAAATACCCCTCCCCTAGACACTCCTCCCCTTCGTGTTGCCTCTTTCCTCCTATTAGAATGTAAGCTCTCTGGAGTCAGGTACTGTCTTGCTTTTGGGTTTGTATCCCCATTGATTAGTTACAACCTTTCTGGTCTCTAGGCCACTCCCCATGATTACAAGTTGACCTACCCTGGTAAAGGGGGTTCTTCATTCAAGAGGTCCCTATCTTCTATCCTTAGAGCTAAGCACTTAATGTTTTTTCATTCATTCCGCAAATTCATGAAACTGTCTTAGAAAAAAAGAGATACAACACAAACTGCAGGAAGGGGGGGAAGCGGCTCTACTCTCACGTCCAAGTATGTGCGGGAAAGATCCAAATGCCGGCCGTAGTAGACAGGGTTCAAGACGCACCACTCCTCAGCCAGAGACTCCTCCGTCGATTACCTAATCCACTGGGCAGTGCGCCTGCTCAGAAGAAACCTCTGGACTCCGGTTTCCCCAAGCCTTCCAGATGGGTAGCCAGACTCCATTTCCCAGAAGGACCTTGGAATCTGCCTGCGCCGCTCACGGCCCTTGAGCGCTCGAAGGATTCTGGGAGTCGTAGTTCCGCAGCTTGGTGCAGTGGGAGTTTCGCTATGCTTGAAGTAGGTGGTGGAACAGGTGAGTGAGGGCGCTCTCAGGGGTCCCTGCTCCTTATGTGGGCCTCAGGGGCAGGCCTAGATGTGTTGATGTACTGCGATAGGCCTGGGGTCTGAGCTACGTCTGCGTGCATGAGAGGGGGGAGGGGCTGTAACGGTCTGGCGGGGTTGCCACGGCACCTCTTGCGCCCCCTCCCCACTTCCCCACGGGTGAATGTGCGCGTTTCCTCCTCTCCATCCCCTTCCTGGCGCCTGCGCACTCCTGCCTCACTGCACTGGAGGTGGGGGCTTCCTTGGGGCTCCAGTACCGCGGACACCCCTCTTCTCTGGGCCGTTCCCCCAAACCTGGTGGGCCTGGAGCACAGGTGAGCGGCCTGGACGTGACCCGGCAGGCGCTAGATGGAGGTGCCCGTGTGAGCCCCACCTTAAGTCTACATCAAGAGAGCTGGAGGCTCCGGGCGTGGAGCAACAGCCTTCGGCATCTGCGAGCTGGCGTTCAAAGCCCTTCTTGGACGCTTAGTAGCAGTGTGACCCTGGGCCAGTCACCGACCCTCTCCCAGCCTTTTTCTTGGACGCTTAGTAGCTGTGTGACCCTGGGCCAATCAGCAAATGAAGATAATAGTAGCACCTCCCTCGGCGGGGATGTTGCAGGGATGAAATGCGTTAACAGATGTCAAGTCTCTGCAATCTTTAAACAGCCACATAAATGCGTTATTGTTATTTTTTCCACACCAACCATGCCACGCTTGGGCTTTTGACTGGGAGTCACAGGTTCCCCCTTTCTCTTGGGTGGACTGTTTCTCCTCCAGTTATTTTTCTCTTTGTTTCCTTCTGCTTTAAAGTACGTGTGTTCGCACTCCCGTGCACAAGGTTCCAACACATTTCTTAGTTGGCTTTGAGCATGGCTAAGCCCTTTGGCATCCTTACTGGTCCCAAGTCACCTGAAGTCTTTCCGTGATTGTTCCTCACGATTTCTTTCTCATCCCGTAGCTCTACGTTGGCATGATTCGGCCCTTCATTAAGAAAGGTGAATAGAAGAGGAGGAGGCAATGACTTCTGTGTTTCGGAAGGCCAGGGGCCAGGTGAGATATGGTTTCTTCCCTCCCTCCTGAAATGCTGTCTTTCCTCAAGGACGGATGTATTTCTTTTCTTTGCTCTTGGACTTTCCTGGTTAACTATGTCTTATTCAGGGACCTGAGCATAGATTACTCTCCTCAGAAGACTGTGAATGAGTTGGAGTTCAGAAATCTTACAGGTCCTCAGAACTCAAACGAGTTCGGCAATCTAACTCCTTTATTTAATACAGGACGATGCACTTGAGAATGAATTTCTTTCCAGGACTTTTCCAGTATCTTTAAAGGAAGCCCTCTCTCTTGACCTAATGTCCTCATAGAAAGAAGCCCAGAATTTCTTATATTCAGTGGGATGTCAGAGCGACCTAGTTCACATAGTATGCAAACTAGAATTCCATCGATAACATGGCATTCTGGAGTTTGGGATGACCAGTGCTTTTTAAAATGTTCTCATTTATTTATTTTTTTTTTACAAGCATTATTATCTCTATCTCTCACCACCTCCTTTGAATATTGCTTTTCCTCATGCCTTCTATGGTCAATCACTTGCCTACTTAATATTCTTTGTATTCAACAGTCTCTCTTGTCTCTCTGCCTCTGCACAGATTGTCCACCTTTCCCATAATATGCTCTCCTTCACTTCCATATCCCTGGCTGCCTTCAGAGCATAGCATGGAGCCAGCCACATTGTTTGGTGCTTTCCTCCCACAAATATCCTCATATTTACTCAGTATGTTCTATGTATCTCTGTCTCCATCTTCTCCATATATATCTATCTATCTACACATACGTGTATATGTACTGTTTCACCTCAGTAGATTACAAGTTCCATTAGGGTAAACACCATTTGATTTTTGTCTTTATATGCCCAGTGCTTGGCACATAATAGGTGCTAAATAAATTTAGGGGGAGGGCAACTAGGTAACGCAGTAGATAGAGTGCCCGGCTTAAAGATTATGGGGAGAAGCTGTGGCCACTTGAATTCTTTCTTTCTGGTTGCTTACAGTATTTTTTCCTTGACTTGAAAACCCTGGATTTTGGCTATGATATTCCTGGGAGTTTTCATTTTGGAGTTTCTTTCAGAAGATGACAGATGGCTCCTTTCTCTTTCCATTTTGCCCCTTGGTTCTATTAGATTCAAGTAGTTTTCTTTTAAAATTTATTGAAATAAAATGTCTAAGTTCTTTTTTTTTTGTCATGGCATTCAAACAGTCTGATGATTATTAATTTTTTCCTCTAGATCTGTTTTCCAGGTCAGTTGTTTTTGCTATAAGATACAGTTTCTTCTTAGATTTTCTTCTATTTCTTCAGTCTTTTGACTTCGTTTTAATATCTCTTGTTGTCTCATGAAGTTATTGACTCCTATTTTGTTCATTCTAATTTTTAGGGAGTTCGTTGTTTGGGTGAAGTTTTATACCTCCTGTGCCAAGTTTTTAATTCCCTTTTTAATACTTTCTTCCATGACTCTTATTTATTTTCCATTTTTCCCCCTCCAATGCTCTCATCTCATTTCTAAAAATATTTTTAAACTTTTTTTTCATCTCTTGTAGGAGTTCTAGCTGACATTATTTCTCTCCAAGGCTATACTTGTAATAATAGTGATAATAATAACAATAGTATTTATTTAGCAACTACCATATGCTAGGCACTGTGGTAAGTGCTTCACAAATATCTCATTTTTATCCTCACCATAACCCTGAGAGGTAGATGCTATTGTTATCCTCATTTTACATTTGAGGAAACTGAGGCAAACTGAGATTAAATGACTTGTGCAGGGTCACATAGGTAGTAAATATCCAAGGCTGAATTTTAACTCAGATTTTCCTGACTCTGGACCCAGTGCTCCGTCTGCTGCATCACTTAGCTGTGTCAAGATGTAGATGTTTTGGAATCATCCTCTTCTTCTGTGTTTGTGCCTTGAGCTTCCTCGCTTAATAGCTTTTTATGGTGGGATTCTTCTTTGGTTTGCTCATTCTTCCAGACAGCTTCCTGACTTTGGATTTGGTGTCAGGGCTGGGCTCTGCTCATTTCTGGAGAGAAATTGTTGCTTTCTTGGGGTATTCAATCTCATGTTATTCTAGGATCTCAGGGATAACTTGGGCACCTGCAAGTTTCCAGCACTCCAAAAGTAGTCTGATCTGGGGCAAAGACTGATTGCGGCCCCTTGATCTGAGCTCTACAAGGTCCTGATCTGGGTCTGGGTCTGACCAAGAGTGGACTGAGGCTGGACTCAGCCACTTCAGCCAGCTGGAAAGCTCTGTTTGGTTTAGAATGAAAGAACTGTAGGTCCCCCTTTGGTCTTAGATTTCTGTCTTAGTTATTAATACCTCAGCATACAGAGCTAGGTGCGGGAACTGAGACCTCCACTCCTGGGGTCTGAGCCAAACCAGTGCTGCTTACTTCTGAACTTCGCCCTTCTCTGTACACTGCCCAGGGCTTCCCAACCCAGGAATGCCGCCTCTAAGTGCAGGTCCCCTTCATAGTCCTCCCTGGATCCATGATAAGATCTGGATAGTGAGTGACAGAGCTCCCAGCTAGCATCTGTCCCCTTTTCAGTGCCCTGGTACGGAGCTGGGTCCTCCTCTTCCCTGATGTTCAGCCTGTCCCTGGGTACGGGAGTGTCCTGAGCACAGGACACCCCTGGCCTGACTCCACCCCCACTATCCCTAGACCACTCTGTCTCTCTCCCTATGCCAACCGGTGCTGGATAAGTGACTCATTGTGACTTTTTTTGCATTTTCCCATTGGAACTCGGCCTAGTGCATTTTCTAAGTCTCTTTGGATTTTTGTGGAGGGTAGCTCAGCTGCACTACTTCTAGCTACTCCATCCCCTTGGCTTTGCATCCAAGTATGAAGATGTTAGAGGCAAAGCACTCATTATCTCTGACCTAAAGCCGTCCCTGATCCCACTGATCCCCTCCCTTCATGCCCTAGTTAGCAACAACACTTCCTCCCTTGGACATTATAAAGTATTTGCTTTGTACCTCTCTTGTATTCGTCTTGTGTTTCATTTTATATGTTAGTTATTTGTGCAGATGTCATTCCATGTAATATATGGTGAAGTATATGAGGGCAGGGATGACACTTTATCTTTTTACCCCATCAAGGATCTGTCTCATTGCTCTTTGTATATAGTATGTAGTATAGGTACTTTAAGATGTTTGTGTAATTAGCAGCCAGAGAATTCTGTGCTGGGGGAGTCTGACTTGGGAAAACAATGGTTTGGGTGAGAGATCTGGGTCACATTAGTGGCAGGAGTTGGAGAAAACCACCACCTTAAATACATGACTTTTTTCCTGTTGAATTCTGCTCCTAACTCAGTGACCAGGAATGGAGCATTGTGGCTCTCTCTGTTGATCCATTTAAAAATTAATGTGTATAATATGATTGTTGATGTCAGAGCTGTTTTCTAAATTCTGATTTCTTTTTTTTTTAATTAATTAATTTTTAGTTTCCAACAATCACTTTTATAAGCTTTTGAGTTTTAAATTTTCTTCCTTTTCCTCCCCGCCTCCTTCCCCAAGGTGACATGCAATCTGGTATAAATTCTACATATACATTCCTATTAAACATATTTTCACATTAGTCATGTTGTAAAGAAGAATTAAATATAATTTCTAATAAAATGAGGTATGTTGATTATACAGCAGCTAGGTGGTGCCATAGTGCCAGGTCTGGAGTCAGGAAGACTTCTCCGCTGAGTTCAAATCTGGTCTCAGACATTTACTAGCTGTGTGACCCTGGGCAAGTCACTTAACCTTGTTTGCCTCAGTTTCCTCATCTGTAAAATGAGCTGGAGAAGGGAGTGGCAAACCACTCCAGTATCTTTACCAAGAAAACCTCAAATGGGCTTATGAATATTCGGACTCAACTGTGATTGACTGAACAACAATGTTGATTATATTTGTGCTTGAGTAGGGAGTAATGGCTGCCTTGGGGCACACTTTGAGAAATGGTTTGTAAGGGTGAAATTGAACAGTCAGGTAAAACTTTACGTGTTGCTGAAGCACAAAGTGAATGAGTTCTCAGTAAATATTTAGTGTAGAATATTCAAAATACTCGTCACCACGAAGTCCAGAGCCAGTACCTATTGTCAACTTCACTTCTCCTTGACAGTCTATATATTGGGTGGTCTTTGGTTGAAAAGAAATGCATTTGTTTCAGAAATCATTGACATTCAAGGATGTGGCTGTTGACTTCACCCAGGAGGAGTGGAAGCAGCTGAACCCTGCCCAGAGGGACCTGTACAGGGATGTGATGCTGGAGAACTATAGGAACCTGGCTTTACTTGGTGAGGAAGCCTTCTCCTTGCAAATCAGGTTCTGTCCATTGGGGTGTCTCCATTCTTATTTGCTAAAGCCTATGGTGTATCTGAATCATTTACAAGAGACTTGGCTTGATTTTTAAAGATGTTCAGTTATGGGTAACATCAGGGGATTCCTAGATCTTTGGGGTCAAGAGGCAGGATGTTTCTGCTTCCTGGCCCCAAGTGGCAAGTCTTTTCTTTCCTAAATTTGAAACTTAGAGCTTTATTCTACCAATCCTGAGTCAGCACTTTCCCCACTTTCCATTTGCCCCAGGCTAAAGCTTACTCTGCAATGTCCCAGTGCTTATACCCTGAAGATAAGAAAGTTCCCATCTTCTTCACAGGTCAAGCAGCATGTTTCTTCTGGGGCCAAGTCAACTTTGACCCCCACTCCCCTCCTGCCATGCTTTCTGTGAAGTGCGATTGAGAACATATCTCAGAGGTCCTTAGAAGTTCATTTGGTCTTTTCCTAAAATACTTTTTTTTATTGCAGAAGAAAAGACCCTAGGATTGTATGGTGAGACAGCTCAATCCTCAACCCTTTCCCATTTCTTTCCCCATGAGCAGGCCTCCTTGTTTTTCAACCAGATGTGATCCATCATTTGGAGAATGGCGAAGTACCATGGACGCCAGAGGGAGAGGGCTCAAAAAGCTCTTGTTCAGGTGAGTGAGTGGCAGCCAAGCTGACGAGAGATGTTGAAGGAAACAGCCCCGCTCTTCAGTCATGGGAGAGTCCCTTCTAGAGACTGGAGAGCAGCAATGTCACCCAAATAGAAGGGGAGACCACCAATCCCTTCCTAAAGATCGCTGCAGACCACATATTGACTCAACTTTAAGATGTATGCTATCTTTATCTTTACTTACTTGGTTAACTATTTCTCAATTACATTTTAATCTGGTTCAGGCCACACTTGGGATTGTTGAGGGCTGACACCTCTGTTATAGAGGATCCTGTTGGCCCAGTGTTTCCCTGGGGACTTTGGAGAAGGGACTAGGCAAGTGTGACCTCTAATGTGTGACTTCATTAATATACACTCATATTTCTCTTTAGTAAAACTCTTTCCCGATATGTCTCCCCACATTTTCCTCCATTCTCCAGCCTTCCCTTTTGCATAGTTATTTCCTTCTTTGATTTCCTTCTTTTCTTTAGTCTTTCATTCATTTGAATTTACCAGCATTTATTATATTCCTTCTCTGTGTAAGGTATTGTTTTCTATCTCTTCCTCCTCTCAGGCTCCTTTCCTTTTCCTTTCAAATACATAGGTGTAACCTGCTTTGTTTGTTTTCCAAAAGAAAAGAAAAAGAAACACCTTTGCTTGACCCTTTTCTCACATGGTTAGTAAGTGCCAGAATCAAGAATCCTACCCAGCTGTTCTGACTTCTAGCTTAGGGACTTTCCCCAAAGTCACACCAAAAGTAAGTGGAAGAGCTGAGATTTGAACCCAGGTCTTCTGACCTCATGATCTTCTATAACCTTTTCATAGTATTTGGCAAATTTTTATCCTTCATGACATTGTCTCCTTTCCATTTGAGACATTGTCCTTTTGATCTTACCTCTTGAATTGTTTCATTCTTACTTTTTAAAATTGGCTTCCCAGTCTCCCAAATCTTCACTCCGAAGTTCTGCCCATTTCTGTGACTGTCTTTGCCCCTCTGTTCTTATCTTTATGCTTCTTCAGACAAGTTATCTATCCTCAAGTCTTTTATTATTCCTTCTATACTCAGGATTCCCAAATTCATATCTTTAGCCTGGACTTCATTCATTGGCATTTAGTTCTTTGTGTTTGCCTACAAGGCATGTCTATTTGGATGACTTCCTTTCTCTGCAAACACAGTATTTCCCAAAGGTCACCCCTGAGGCCTCACACCCATTAGAGAGGTATCTACCCCAAGCATGAGAAGACTTCCCCTTCAGGATCGGCAGGATGTTTGTTCTAGTAGCCCTGAAGGCAACTGAAGCAGAGGCTGTGGGGCACCTAGAGCTTGGTCAGACATCAAAGACACCAAGATTATCCACTTCATCCTGAGCCATAATTAGTCATCTTGACTTCTGTCTTGCCACTGGACTTCCATGACTCTGGAAGAGAAAGTGAGGTGGATGACTTTGTGCACCTCTGCCTCACTTAAATCCAATTCACTCCCAAGTCAAGACATCACCCCATGATATCATTGGTCCTCTTTGAAAATGAAAGACAAACATTTCTCAAACCAAACTTGTCTACCGCAAACATGTCTCCCTCCTGAATTTCCTCATTTCTAGCCAAAGGACTATTATTTTTCCAAGCTACAAAACTTATTCACCCCCCTTTTCTCATTAGTTATTGCATCCATTTGTTTGATCCCCTGCTATGCCCTCTGAACTCACTTATTATCTATTCCTATGGCATCAGCGCTCTCCAAACCCCCATCTTCTTGTAGCCCATATGCGGTATGGCACCAAACCCCTGTTTTTCCTTCATTCAGCTAGCTCAGATCATCCAACTTGCACTCCCTCTGGCAAATCAATATTTTCCCAGATGAAGGCAGGCCTGCTGTTAAAATTCACTCTCAGGATCCTAGGGGGTAATGCTGATGGGGGTAATAGACTCCTCCTACACATAACTATAGGGAATATGCCCCCCAATACCGTGCTTTCTATTCAACAAATCAGCCAAGAGGACACAGTTAATTCTTTACCAGAAGCATTTACTAGATGAAAGGTAAATCAGGAAAATTAAACATAACCTTCCAGCCATAAACCCGGGCGACACTCTCACAACGATGCCCTTAGCGACTGTGGGGACAAGTAGGCACAAACTTACAGAATCAGAGGTAGTTGCGTATGAGTAAGGGATGCCTGTGTCCAGAGCAACTCATGACTCTGAACCATGGGCCACGTTGTCCTTTTTCTCTTTCGGATTCTCAGCTCTGCAGTCTGCTTATGGGTAGAACTGTTCCTCTTTGGGGCCTCTCGGCTCTCCTGCTGGTTAGGGCTCTTCTTCTGCCAGAGCAATGTTGAACTCTCTCAGCTAAACAGAAACCCTAAACTTGGGATCTGCACAACCTTTCCTGGTCCACTCCCTTGCCTAGGCTCTGAGGCATTTCTACATGTAAGACATGTGGATGGAGGAGCAGGGAAAGGTAGAACCTTGATCTTCTACACAGCAAAAATTTCCCCACCAGTCAGCTCTTCTAAGCCTCCAGTGACAGTGCAGGAGGTCTGCCCTTGACCAACCCTACTCCAAAGCAGGGTCTCATGTGAAATGGCCCCCTCTATCTTACGGTGAGGAATCAAAATCATCATTTTTGTCAGCCAAGTCACAGAGAAACAAAGTAGTCATCAGAGAAATCGTTCTAGTAATCCAAGTTTTTCCTACTTTCAGTGTTAGAGTCCCCACCAGTTGTATATATATAAATTAGTTGTTAGGAAAAAGGATATTTCAGCCATCTTTACTCCGAATGAGTGTCTTTCTCTATGGGCTGCTTTTTCCATGTTTCTCATGCAGCATTTTGTAAGGACACAAGATTAGTAGGGAACAGACTATTTTGCCAGCTGCACCAATTCTAAAACCAGATGTAAGGGGGGCTGATCTGTTTTGCCCCAGTATGACAATTATAGGGATATAGACCCTCCAAGACAATATTGAGATACTGAAGAAAGAGGGGCCCAAGCCAGCTTGGTAGTAAATATATGTATATTTTACTATAATTAATTAGGTTGTTTAAGGGCATTTACTCATGAGGCACAGCCCTTGGCAGTAGGAGGACAGAATGGTGTGATGGATTCCCACACCAATCCCACATCAGGCCAGGTATTATATAGAAACAGAAACTGAACAACGAAGGCGTATAGCCAGGGGTGGTCCAGGGTCCCGTGCAAGTGTCCCATGAGATGGTTGGAGCTTCTTCTGCTGTTTACATTTACTGCAGGTAGTTTATGTTCTTTTTTGTGGAGTCATAAGTCACGTTCCCACTCTAGCTACTATTGTACACAGTTTTGTTGCCCACTCAGCAAAAGGTAACATTTTACATGCTCAGATGAGTCATTCATCCATGCAACAAGCACCTACTGTGTGCCAGGCACTGTGCTAGCTATATAAAAACGTGGTATCTCTTCCTTCAGGCTCTTCTGTGTAGTATTGTGCTCTGTTCTGGGCATCAGATTTTAGGAGGAACACTGATAAGCTAGGGCGTGTCCAGAGGAAGCCGACTAGAATGGTAAAGGGCCTCCCATGCATGTCATAGAAAGATCAGATGGAGGAAGAAGGGGTGTTTAGTCACCACTAAACAGATTCATTTTGAGAGAGACAGGACATGATAACTGGTTTCCAGTACCTTCTTTTCCTTGTTGGTAAAGGACAAAAATAAGAAGGTGGGGAAACTGAGGCACGTTTAGGTTTGATGTAAGGAAAATGTTCTTAACAGAGCTTCTCCCAAAGTGAAAAAGGTTCCCTCTGGAGAAAGTGACTTCTTTATCACCGGAGGTCCTAGAGCAAAAATGGGATGACTATTTGTTGTTGTTGTTCAGTTGTATGCAACTATTTGTGACCCCACTTGGGGTTTTCTTGGCAGAGATACTGGAGTGCTTACCATTCCTTCTGCAGCTCATTTTACAATTGAGGAAACTGAGGCAAACAGGGTGAAGTGACTTGCCCAGGGTCACACAGCTAGTAAGTGTCTGAGGCCAGATCTGAACTCAGGAAGAGGAGTGTTCCTAACTCCAGGCCCTGAACTCTGTCTGATTTGACACCTAAATGCCCCCAGCCATTTGTTGAATATGTTGCAAAAGGGATTCTTAATTAGGTATGAGTTGAACTATTTGGACTGTAAGATCTCTTTCAGTTTAGAGATTCTGTAATACTCTGCCAGGCTATTCTCCCTGATGATAATAGCTGCTGAGATTTATGTAGCACTTTAAGATCTGAAAGGTGCTTAACAAATATTCTTTCTTTACAACAGTACTATGAAATAAGTGCCAGTATTATTCCCAATTTACAGATGAGAAAACTGAGGTGGACACAGGTTAATTGACTTATTCATGGTCACTCAGTGAAGTGCTTAAGGCAGGATTCAAACCCAAGTCTGTCTCTGAGTCTAGCCCTTTGCTACTCTTTTCTTTATTTTTCATAATATTTTGTTTTCTCAATTACATGTAAAGATAACTTTTAACATTCATTTAAAATTTTTTTGTGTTCTGAATTTTTTCCTTCCCTCCCTTCCCTTCCTCCCAAGGTGATTAGCAATTTGATATAGGTTATACATGTGCAGTCATGCAAGACATATTTCCATATTAGTCATGTTATGAAAGAAGACAGATCAGAAAGAAAAAAACAAAACAAAACAAGCATTCCTTTCTTTAAAAAAAGTTTTATTTAGATTTTCTTTTTTAAGCATCATTGTCATGTCCCAATGAATTCCCTTTACCCTCAGTGCTCAATAGCACCTTCCCTTGTGACAAGTATTATCATGTAACAAACCAACACATTGGTCATATCTGAAAAGCATCTGTCTTCTGTACCTCTGGCTCATTATCAGTTTACCAATAGGAGGGTAGTATGGTTCCCCACTAAAGTTCTTGGAAGTCACCGCTGGTCACTGCAGGATCAGACTTCTGAATTCTCTCAGTGTTGTTTCGCTTTACATTATGATATCTAAATAATAATAATTTCAGAAACTGTTTTTTG